GATAGAGCAGATAGGAGAGGAGAATATAAAACATCACAGAATTGGTCGACTTTCTGCTCCTTAAACTTTATTTATTTCATCAATGGTGGTTAACTTTAGCTCAGATATGAGCTGTCAGCATTAGTTGCTGATCTAATACTGATCTAACACAGAACATCAATAAAAAAATAAAATTTTCCTTCCCTGGTTTAAAGTATTAACACAATCTAAACCTAAACTTAATCATTAATTAGTTTTAATAAGATGTTTCCTTATTATTGACTGTTTAGAGATCTGATGAGTTTGAGGGAAGAAGAAGGAAAAGAAGATGAAACAGAAGTTTAAATCTGCTCACTGGGAAAATCAAATCTAGATGAGTCATTTTTTCTTAAAATAAATGAATTTGTTCTTGAATTAAGCAGTTAAGTGAGACGATTAGCAGATGGAATAAGACAATTGCATCTTATTACAAGTGCATGTTATCTAATTATCTTTTTTAAGAGTAAAACTACCAATTCCATCGATGATCTGTCTCATTTACCTACACAAATCAAGGATAAATACACTTAATTTAAGACATTTTTACTTATTTCTAGATTGTTTTTCGATTGTTGTTCATTGTAAACCCACACTGGAAAAAATAAATATCTGAATGAGTCATTTTATGTTAAAATAAGTGCTTTTTGTTCTTCAATTGAGGAGGTAAGTAAAACAATTTGCCGATGGAACGAGACAATTTACACTTAAAATAAGAAAACTCAACTGCAGTCTTATTACAGTGCATGTTATCTAATTATTCTAAGATTAAAAACATGCAGATTATCTTATTAACTTACTCTAATTAAGAGAAAGTAAACAATTTAGAAATGTTGATCTATTATAATTAACAAAACCACTAGCAAACATTTCTTAAAGAAGGGTCAGCAATTTCTGAAGTATCATTTTAGTGAAAATTGAGAAGTTAGTTTCTGTTAAACAAAAACTAATAGAGTTTAATTCCATCTGATGTTAGTTTAATATTAATTAATAAAAGCCGATGAGGAAAATGATGCAATTTGGCGTCAAACTCATTTTCTAATCAGGCCGATTCAGAATCATTCAGTCTATAAACGGTTGGTCGTTAAAATTCAGCTTTTAAATAAAAAAAGAGCAAAATGTTCTGGTATTATAAGTTGATTTATTTAGCAGTTTTATAGATGCACATGGTCATCTAAATTTAAAAAGCTTTTTAATAAAGTTACGATATAAAATGTGTAGAAAAAGGATCAATGTAGAAGCAGAGGTCTGTCTACTGATGAATAAAGGCCTCAGAGACATGAATGAGCAGGAAATGATTTAATGATCATATTAATGATCAGATTAGAAAGAGTTGAGACATGTGGGAACAATCTGCCTGATTGTTTTCCTCCTTTAAACCCTTTAAGCCCTCATGTGGGCTGCTCGTGTTTATCTATGTATAGAAATGGCCAAAGCACAGTCACATGGTGTTTCATCCACACACCTTTCAAATGCGGCTTTAAATTTCTAAAACATGATTCAAAATTATTTTTTCACAAAATACTTTTTGTTTTATAGCTGCGTAAAGAAATAAAATTAGATTTAAATTTCTAACTGACATGTCTGACTCTGCGGGAGTAATGCAACAGCAGGTATTCATTTTTAGCCCCGCCCCCTAATGGCCGCCATCATTGGAAACTAGAGGCTCAGACCTTTCCAAGGAGGGGTCGGAGGTCATTGTGCGAACATTTCAGGTGATGTAAGCGGCATGCGTTTGATAAGCTGCTCTGCTATTCTTATTTCTATTCAGTTTGGTGATTTTATTGGTAAA